AATCTGATGATTATTTTTACTGTTTTTGGCCTAAATGTCAATACAAGACAACAACTAAACAACATTTAACTTCACATCAATTAATTAATTCAGAATTAAAACCATTTAAATGTGATTTTAATAATTGCAATAAAAATTATAAACTAAGTGGACAATTAATTCATCACAAAAATAGCTTTCATTTAAATAAGAGATTTATTTGTGATTTCGATAAATGCAACAAAAGTTTTACACAAAAAGTTCATTTAAGTTCTCACAAAAGATATGTTCATTTAAATCCTGATAAAAATTTTAACTGTTTTTGGCCTAAATGTCATTACAAGACTAAATATAAATCCTGTTTAAATAATCATCAATTAATTCATACAGAAATGAAACAATTTAAATGTGATTTTAATAATTGTAATAAAAGTTATTATAAAAAGATTGATCTTAAAATTCACAAAAATAGTATTCACTTAAATAAGAGATTTATTTGTGATTTCAATGAATGTCACAAAAGTTTCACAATAAAAAGGAATTTATTTCGACACAAAAGTTCTGTTCATTTGAATGAAAAAAAATTCAAATGTAATGAAGAAAATTGTGGCAAAAAATTTAAATCAAAAATATCTCTAATTCAACACAAAATCATACATTCGGGAGAAAATCCATTTGTTTGTAATTTCAATGATTGTACGAAAAGCTTTATACACGAATGTGCTCTCAAACAACATATGAAAAGACATCTAAATATAAAACTTTATAAATGTATTCATAATAACTGTAATCAACGGTTTGTTACGAAACAGGAATTAAATAAACATTTTAATAACATTCATATGAAGCGAAAACAATTATAAAATAATGGTAACAAAAACAAATTATGCTTTCATTGACCACAGACTTCGGCAGCATTCGGGAGATAAACCATTATTGTAATAAATGTTACAAATTAAATATATACTCAAACAAAACATATGAATTTTCATATCATTTAACTTGTTTTAAAAATTGCATATATTTTATTTATATATTACAAATATAATACAACACTTTATGTAATTAAACAATTCATAAACAAATTAACAAAAGAATTAATTTTCAATCAATTTATTACAAAATCAAATGCTTTGTATGGCTTTGGTGTTGTGTTAAGTCATTTAAAGTGGTGAAAAATTGTGGCACTTATACCGCTTCAGCGATGATATAGCAGTGGACAGTCTTCTGGTGTCGGATCCGTTGCTTATCGGCTGACAAACTGTTGTCCGCATTCATCGCACGTCACGCATAGCCCCGAGTGGACAGACCTGTGATGTGTCTTACGCTCCCCTTTAGTAGCGAACGATTGGCCGCAACCGTCGTATCGACAGACGTACTGAACGTCTATAATGTCGGTAACAACAGTCGAACAGTTAACTCGTGTCAGCCGTCGTGTCAACAGACGTACCGATCGTAAGCTATTGTAGTGTCGATAACCACTGATTAGACGTTAACTTCGGTCTCATTGGGCGCCTGCAGTACATGAGTGGTCGCCGAGTATGCAGTCAGTCAGCCTATGCTTAGACAGGCGTGCAGTTAGTGTTGATCCAATGCGGTCACAACCGGCGGTCACGAGTGGACGACAGTATGTTTGGCGGTCTTTGAGTGAACGGTTCGCCGATGAGTCTTGAGGTCCGGTTTTGTATCAAATGTTTTTTCGCATTTCTTACACGTGTAGACCGATTGGACGGCAAGGGTCGGGCCGGCAGTTGCCTCAACCCTAGTGGACAACGCCTGTAACGCTTCAGTTGCCGACATTGAGTGGACAGTCAGCCTATGCTTATCATAGCGTCGTTTGCTGTGATATGTATTGGCACAGGAGTCGCACCGATACTGTCGACCGGTGGCCGAGTGGACAGACAGTCGGTGTCCCTTCAGCTCCGGTATTGTGGCGAACGATAGGCCGCAGCCGTTGTGCGCACAGCCGTACGCTTTGCTGTCCGACGAGTGGACAGTCCGGCGGTGTTTCTTGAGCTCCCGTTTCGTGGCATATGTTTTGTGGCAGTGTTTGCACTCATGACTGGCATTAGGTTCAGGACTACCGGCGGCTAATCCAACGGCGCTATCAAAAAGTAAAACAATATTTTAAAATACAAATAATTTAATCCATAACTTATAAGTACTAAAACACAACACATACTCATCGCACGTGTTGTCCAGCGATTGGCTGTCGGGACTGGAAGTGGTGGCGATTGTCGGCACTGATTGGTTGGCCACTGGTCTGGCATTTGGATGTTGTTGGCCGTCATCTGCGTCTGTCGTCGACTGGTCTCTGGCATCGGTTGAGCTAACAATCGGTTCCCGAGGAGTGATGTCTTGTATGGCATGTCTGCGGCGTTTGTGTGCATCCAATCGGCTTTGAGTTGTGAAAGTTTTAGTACATTCATTGTAATCGCATTTCAATGACTTCTTTGACCGGAATTGTCGGACAAACGACTCGAGGATTGACTCATAAGTCAAAGATTGGCTGAAAAGACACAACAGTTGTGACAATTGAACGCATGGTTTGTCACAATCCATACAAACCTATCACTCGATGACATCCAGAAGAATGTGAAGACAACACTCATGAAGACATCACTACTTGTGTCCACACAAACGCAACGATCAATAAATCATTGATAAAAATCACCGAAAATATTGTCTTTTGTTTACTAAACAATTTGCGCCAATATTTTGTTTTGTCGCATAAATTACGGCTCATTATTAATACTGTGTTTTAAAACCCCTTTCAACGCAAACGTATAGCAAATGCATTACGTTTTGAGTCAATAATATATGACGTTATTTATAGTCAACACAGAATATACAGTCGACTTTAGATAATAGTAAACATGTTTAGTAAATTAAAATATTAATTAATTTTTTTAAATGAATTGTATTAAGTAAAGTTATAATAAAATTTACTAAGAATTTAATTTTTACCTTAATTGCAATAGTCTTTAAAATGAATATTTAATTTAGCCATAAATTAATTAATTGTAACCATTTTTCCGCACAAACACTCATTTAATACTCATATATAAATAATATGTTATCAAATAATTTATTTTTAACTTACCAAGTTAAAATTACTTTTATTGTATTTATAGCCATAATATTTATTACATTTATTGAAAAGATATTTAAACATCAAGATTTTTTAGAAAGTTAAATGTTATGAGATTTGATATATTTTTCGAGCATATATTTTATTTTGTAACATTTATTACAATAATTAATTTCACAAACAAAATGTTTATCTCCCGAATGCCAAAGTCTGTGTTCAGTGAAAGTATCTTTTGTTTGAATACTTTTGTTATTATAATTTTATAATTGTTTTCGCCATTTGTGACAATACTTTTACTACACATCTATTGTCAATCTCTGTACAGGTATTGAACACAACTCTATGCAGAACTTTGAGAGGTATTGCCATTGTTTTACACATCTATTCATTGCTAGTATAATAGTTTTAATTTATGTGTGTTTGCAATTTAAATGTAGTTTCAATCCCTGTTTCGTAGCAAACCGTTGATTACAGTAATTATTAATTTATTTATGGCTTTTTATATTCAGATGTCGTTTCATATGTCGTTTGAGAGTATATTCTTGTATAAAACTTTCGGTACAATCATTGAAATGACAAACAAATGGTTTTTCTCCCGAATGAATGCGTTTGTGTTGAATGAGAGATGTTTTTTCTCTGTATTTTTTGTCACAATTTTCTTCATTACATTTGAATTTCCTTTCATTCAAATGAACACAACTTTTGTGTCGAAATAAATTCTTCTTATTTGTAAAACTTTTGTGGCATTCATTGAAATTACAAATAAATCTCATATTTAAATGAATGTTATTTTTGTGAATTTGAAGATCACAACTTTGAGTATAACTTTTATTACAATTATTAAAATCACATTTAAATTGTTTTATTAATGAATGACTTAATAAATGATAACTTATATTTTCTCTACTGTTTGTCTTGTATTGACATTTAGGCCAAAAACAGCGAATAATTTTATCTGAATGGTCACGTCTTTTATGAAAATTTAAATGTGAGTTTTGTGTAAAACTTTTGTGACATTCATTGAAATCACAAATAAATTTCACATTTAAATGAATTTGTTTTTTATGGTAATTTAAATGTCCAATTTGTTTATAACTTTTATTACAATTATTGAAATCACATTTAAATCGTTTTATTTCTGAATGAATTAATTGGTGTTGAGTTAACTGTTGTTTAACTTTTGTCTTGTATTGACATTTAGGCCAAAAACAGTAAAAATAATCATCAGATTTAGTAATGATATGACAATTGTTTAGCATT